AGGGCCGCGGCGGGCGCGGCGGCAGGGGCTTTGAGGATCGCGGCGGGCGCGGCGACAGGCGGCAATTTGAGGATCGCCAGGAGGGCGGCGGGGGCTTTGAGGATCGCCAGTTGGGCGGCGGCCGCGGCGGCGCTGCCAGGTTTGACGACCGCCGCTGGCAGCCGCGGCAGGAGGGCGGCGAGCGGCGGCGCGGCGGCGTGCAGGGCGGTGAGCGGCGTGGCGGCGGCGGCGAGGCCGGCTGGTTTGAGGGCGGCGGCGACGGAGCCGCCGATGCCGGCAGCGTGTGGGGGAGCATCGGCGAGGAGGTGCCAGTGATGGGCGGCGCCGGCGGCGGTGCCAGCGCCGACGATGCCGGCTTTGCGGGCTGGTTTGACTCTGCAGCCGCGGCCTTTGACTTTGACGCGCCCGCCGCGGCCGAGGCGCCGCCAGCCGACTCATTTGGAGGCTCCGCGGCGGCCGGCGGCTGGAGCTGGGACGAGGCTCTAGGGCAGCAGGACGCCGCGCCGCCGCCGCAGCCGCCGCCGCCGCCGCAGCAGCAGCAGCCGCAGCAGCAGGCGGCAGAGCCGGCGAAGTGGGCCGCGCCTGCGGTGGATGCTGGCGGCATGTGGGATGAGCAGCCTGGGGCAGACCTGGGCCTGGGGCTGGGCCTGGGCGCCCCCGTGGCGGGCGGCGGCGGCGGCGTCGCGTACGGCATCCCGCCCTCGCCAGCGCCGCAGCAGGCGCAGGGCGAGTGGCGGGCGCGGCGGGACGGCGGGCGCGGCGGGCGCGACGGCGGGCGCGGCGGGCGCGGCGGAAGGGAGCGGTACGGCGGGCGCGGCGACAGGGACCGATTTGGCGGCGAGCGCGGCGGCGGCCGCGGCGGCAGGGAGCGGTACGGCGACCGCAGCGGCGGTCGCTTCGGCGGCCGCGGCGACGAGCGCAGCGACGAGCGCGGCGACCGCCGCGGCGGCTGGGAGGGCGGCAGCGGCGGCGGCGGCGGCGGCTGGTATGAGGGGCGGCCTGACGAGGGCGCCACGGCCGCCACTGGCGGCGGCGACGACGGGCTGTCGTGGTGGGATGGGGATGCAGACAGCAATGATGAGGTGAGGGCCCTGTGCCTTGCGCCTCGCCAGCGCCGCTGCTGGCTTGGCTGGCTGGGCTGCAGGGCAGGCGGGCCCCGCCTGCTGATGGCCAGCAGCGCAGGCTGCAGAGGAGGCAGGCGGGGCGGGTGCCTGGCTGGCGTGTACACTCCAGCAGCGCCCGGCTGGTGCCCTGCTGGCCTGCCGGTGTCCTGCTGCGTGCTCACTCTCCTGCCTGCCTGCCTGCCTGCCCGCCTGCCTGCCTGCCTGCAGGGTGCGGGCTTCACTGGCGTCTATCCCGGCTCTTCCGGCTGGGAAGGGCAGCGCGGCGGCGGCGGCAGCAGCGCCAGCGGCAGCGGCAGCGACGACGGCTGGCAGCCGCAGCGGGAGGGCCGGTCCGAGCGCCGCAGCCGCGGCCGGGGCAGCGACGGCGGCGGCGGCGAGGGCGGCTGGGGCCAGGACGAGGCCAGCTCCCAGCCTGGGGCTGCCGCCGCGAGCGCCGGCGGCGGCGGCGCCGGCCAGCCCTCCGCTGCTGACGTGGCGGCGGCCGCCGCCTTCCAGCCGGGGCAGCAGGTGCGTGACGCGGGGGCAGGGCAGCCTGGTCCCGCCACGCCGCCACCGCTTTCCTGAGCTCTCTGCGCGGCCTGCTGGCGTGCCGCCGCCACCAGCCTCTGCGCCCCGCCCTCGCCTGCCGTGCCATGCTGCCGCCCGCAGGGCCCCTCACCTGCGCTGCCCTGCCATGCTGTGTGACTGCTCCCTGCCAGCAGGTGGCCGTGACCCAGGGCAACTTCCGGGACTTTGAGGGCACGGTGGTGGCGGCGCAGGGCGGCCGCCTGACCGCGGAGCTCGACATCTTTGTGAGTGGGCAGGGAGGTGTGTGTGTGTGTGTGAGAGAGAGAGAGAGACAGAGAGAGTGGTCGTGTGTGTGTGTGTGGTCGTGTGTGTGTGTGTGTGTGTGTGTGTGTGTGTGTGTGTGTGTGTGTGTGTGTGTGTGTGTGTGAGAGAGAGAGAGAGAAAGTGTGTGTGTGTGTGGTCGTGTGTGTGTGTGAGTGTGTGTGCGTGGTGGGGGTGTGGGGTGGGCCTTGCTTGCCTGCGTGTGCTCGCTCGGCCGCCCAGCAGGCCGCCCGCCGCCAGCCTCCCTGCCCCCCGGCCAACCCCCCTCCCCTGCTGCCGTGGCGCGCCGCAGGGCAAGCGCACGCGGGTGGAGCTCAGCCCCTCCGACGTGTCCAGCGCCGGCGGTGAGGGCGGCGCCGGCGCGGCAGACGCGTGAGGGGAGGAGTCGACGCAGCGGTAGTGCCCGCCGCGGCTGGCTGCCCCGCCCACCCTACTCGCTCACAAGCTATAATCAGTAGATGCTTTCAAGGTTTCACGGGACGTGCGCAAATTGCAGTGTGCCATATCATGATTACGTATAAGAAAATGAAATGAAAGCGCTAAATAGTACGGGCAATAGGGGTGTGGCAACAGGTAGAAGGGAGTAATGTGCGGGAACGACGGGTACAGGGGCGTGAGGGAAAAGCAGAGCTACTTGGCAGGCTGACGGTGTGTTACGCTGGATGGGGCGAGGCGCCGGGCGGGTCAGAGCGAGCCGGGCAGGTCGCCGAGCCCGCCGGCCGCCTCGCTGCCTTGCTGGCCGCCGTCGGTGGCCGGCGCGCGCGCCTTGCGCGGCGCCGCCCCCTCCCCGAACGTCCGCCGCTCTCGCCGCTCCGCCGCCGTGCGCCACTGGGCGCGCGTGGGCGGCCAGAACAGGTTTGCTCCGCCCGCGCCGTGCGCGATGCAGGTGGTCACGCACAGCGCCGCGCCCCACTGGTCGAGGTTGGCCACCAGGCTCGGCGACAGCTCGCGTGCGGAGGCCAGCTTGGCCAGCACACCGTCCCTCTGCAGGCAGAGGAGGAGGGGATAGCAACACAGGGGTGAGCAGGGGCTGGTGCCGGGAGTGAAGGGCCAGGAGTGAGCGGCAGAGCCATCTGCCGCCGGCGGGTGGATCCGGAGGCAGCGCACAGGCGACAGTCCCGCGACAGCACCCACCTGGATTTGCACGGCCTGGTACTCACGCTCCAGCATGAGCGCCAGCACGGTGCGCTCCGCAATCTTCTGGGCCAGCTCCACCACCAGGTCCAGCGCCTGGCCCAGGCGGGCGGCGGCGCTGCAGCGGCGCAGGGCGCCGGCGGCCGCCTCCGCCTCGCGCCGCAGCTGCCTGGAGGGCGCCCTGCCTTCAAGCTTGGCGATCTGTATGCATGTCGCGGCCTTCAGCAGCTGACTGAGCGGGGCCAGGAGGGGCGCGGGCAGCCGGCGAAGGGGCTCCATGGGTGGGTGGGCAGTGGGTGTGGGCGGGGAGCAGCTGGGGAGGCTTTCTGGTGGTTGGCTGTTGGTGCAGGGATGGAAATACAAAGTGGGGAGAGCTCGTGAGCCGGCGCTTTTGTGCATGGGGAGGCCCAGGCCTAGGTGGGAGTTGTCGAGAAGGTCCTGGCAAAATGGCAGTCTGGGCGGAAGGGGGAGGGAAGGGGGCTGGGGGCTCCCAGAGGAACAAAGACACAGCGCCTCATGCTTGGAGGAGCGCGCCTCCCATGGGGCCGCCTCTCGCCTGCAACCTCCCGCCCTGTCGCGACGTGCGTGTGCAGCTGCGCAGTGGAAATGACCCCTGGCTGGTGAATCCTCTGTGAGCGCAGCTGCCAGATCTATGCCTCAGTTGATGGAGGGTTTCTCAATGGCAGCCGCATGTGGCAAACCTGGGGCTGTGCCAACCTGCTGTGCGGCGGCGAGGTTTCACCGTGAATGGGCGGCGCCGGCCGACCTGCTGGCAGCAGGCGGCAGGCCCTAACCAAGTGATCTGGCTGCTTTCAGTGCACTGTAGCCGGCTGTTGTTCCCCTTAAAGCTGGCATATCATTTGCTCCTTGATTCATGAGCTCAAAGGCTGCCGCTACCGGGACAGCGCGGCGCGCCCGCCAGCGAGGGACACCGCCGGCCGCCGCTTCCACCTGCGGCGGCACCCTAGCGCCCCAGGAGGGCCTTTACCGGCACACTGTCGCATTGCTACATCAATGAGCGCTATCATGCATCATGCACGTCCCGTGCTGGGTGCACGTGCCCAGCTGGGCCACGCAACAAGCAATACAGTGGCGTGAATCCAACCCTTCCACTGCGCAACCAGCCAACATACACTCTACAGTGCTCAATTCAGCTTGCGGTCACCGCTCCGGCACACACAAACCCCATCCCTCCAGCTTTTTGGAGTTTTTGGAGCAATTCACAAGCGGCTCATGGCCCCCAAGCTCATAATTGCGCTGCTGTTAAGCACCCTGATCGCCCTTCCTACCGAAGCAGGTTGCGGAGCAGGGTGTTGCCATGGGTGGCGGCCCTGCGCGGCGGCCCTGCGCTCTGGCGCCGCTACCCACGCAGGCTGCAGCTACATTCACAATCCCAGCGCACATACCATGCAGGGCTTTTGGACTGGTTGAAAAAGGGCAAGGCAGAAGAGGTCGTTGGGAAAGTCGTCAGCTCAGGAGTCGATGGGGTGGGTGCTGCCAGTAGCAAACTGGTCTGGATTCTGTGCCCGGCTTGTATGGGAGAAGATGCCGGCCGCTGCACTCCACACGCGTCATCATTCTGTCTTATGATGGACTGCAGATCTCCAACTGGATTGCTGATGGCCTGGCAGCGGACGGCGAGACCGAAGCTGCTGAGGGAGTGAGGAATGCTGGCGATGCCGTAGAGTCCTTCGTCGGGACGGCAGTGGACGCCACGGCATGCTATGGAACGGTCGCCGCTGGGGCAGCACTGGGCTCCGTCATCCCAGTCTTTGGCACGCTTGCCGGGGCCGCGGCTGGTGCCTTCCTCAACCCTTCGTGCAAGGAGGCTGTGGAGGGCGTGGTCACCACTGTTGGGGAGGCAGCCAACGCCGTCGACAATATTGCCGCCGCCACCTGCCAGCCGCAGTGCAGCGGCAACACCGTGCCGATGTGCAGCACCGAGGTCAGCTGCGCGGCCGCATGCCGCTTGCTCTGCCGCCCTGCAGCTTGAACTCAACAGAGGGGGCCTGCGCATTGCGGTGCAGGAGTGCATCGAGTACTGCGACTCCATCTCCCCCGCCTGCTTCACATGGTACATGGACAGGGGGTGCTGCCTGTGCAAGTCGTACTGCGACAACGCCGGCACCACTGGCACCACTGGCACCACTGGTACCACTGGCACCACTGGCACCGACGACGGCACCACGTCCCCCGGCGCTACTGACACCGACGGCGGGATTGAAAGCAGCGACACCGGTGGGGCCGCTGTGGCTCCACAGATCCCGGCCGCTGGCACCCCTGCGCTGTCCACCTGCTCCCTCAACGTCCAGTACGACACCGACTTTGCTGGCGAGGATGGCGACATCGTGCCCGTCACAAGTGAGAGCGGCGCACAGCCCCCGGTTGCCAGGCGGCACCCCGCTGGCAGCAGCACGGATTCCCTTGAATGGCCGCCAGTTGCAAGAGCTGTGCTCCCCTCTGCACGCAGCCAAGTGGGCCGACACCGCAGTGTCTGCCGCCACCCCAGAGGACTGCTGCGAGGCCTGCACCCTGTACAGCTACTGCTCGGTGAGCCAGCCACTGCTCAGTAAGCTTGTGAGGCGCATCGGGCGGGCGCGAAGAGCTCGCCATCCATCCACGATGCCAGGCAGCTCGTGCTGACATCAGCAGCGCTCTGGCCCCTGCCCCTGCCCGCCTGCTGTGTGCAGGCCTGGACCTGGACTCCCGGCTCCAACTGCGAGGAGCGCTTCCCCCATGCCTCCGGCTGCTGCTTCCTCAAGGCCAGTGCCAGCCAGCCAGGAGGCAGATGGCACCCCTCTGCCCAGCTCAGCCTGAGCGGCTTCAGCGCTTGTGCAGGCCCGCTGTGCATGCCTGCATTGGCCCTGCACGCGCCGCCGCAGGCCCTGCTGATGCTGCCTGACGTGCTGGGCGTGCCTGCGCCGTGGCGGCTGTGCAGAAGGCAACAGGCTGGCAGGCCGAGCCAGCTCCAGGCATGGTGAGCGGCACCACCAACTCCCCGCCCGCCGCCTCCTGCACCTTGGAATTTGACACCGTCATCAGCGGGGGCGCCCTGCTCAATGCCGATGGTGAGCAGATGCTGCAATGCACATGCAGCCGGCCAGAGCAAGCACTGGCAGGCCAGGCGCATGACGGGCGCCACCAGGCTGCCAGCTCAGCTGCCGTGCCGCCCCCATGTCAAGCGCTGCGTCCATTGTGCAGGCACGGAGGTTGTGGTGGCCACCATTTCGGATGCTGCCTGCTGCAACTCATGCGCCAGGACAGCGGGCTGCAGGGCATGGTGAGGGGCTGCTGTCATGCGAGGCCCTTCCAGCAGCCCGTAGCGGCAGCCTGCCGTGCCCCAAGGTCGTGCCATGCTGGGGCCTGCACAGCCACCCATTGTAGCCCCGCTGTACTCTGGCCATGCAGGACCATGACGCCTCCAGAGTACTGCATCAATATGGTGGATGGGCTGGTGATCGGGTGCTGCTTCCTCAAGGTGCAGTGCGGCACGGGGCGGCGCTGGAAATGACCTGCTGTAAGCTAGCTACGTGGAACTGCACATTGAATAGGCCCCACCTTCTGCTGCTTGCAGGGTGCCGCTGGCTGGACCAGCATGACAGACGAGAAAGGAGAGATGACTTCTGGCCAGCTGCTGACGCTTGGCAGCAAGTAAAATTCAGCGCAAGATTCAGGGCAACACACAATGCATGAAAGAGCTGGTGGGGCTCAAAGCAAACTTTTATCGGCCCACCCCCTCAATGACCTTTGAATATCAAAAAGAAACGCATGCCCCACTCGTGACATACTAAAAAACGCTGGCGGTGGCGCTGCCACATGCACCATTCACCGATGGTGCCTGACGCACTCGCATGCTGCGTCCCTTCATTATCTGCCTGTGCACTGCTTTACCTCATCTTGCCTTGCAAGGTTATAGCACAATTAAGTATGATAAGCTGAGCCATGCTGAGTGCTCCACTACCTCTAGTGAGCGATCAAAACTACCAAGCACCAGCCAGCGACAGATTGCCTGAGCAAGTATTCATGCCGTCACAAATCTCCCGCCGCAGTGGGCCCTTCTGCTTCTGCTGCTGCTGCTGCTGCATTCTCTGCATCCGTGGGGGCTGCCGCGAGGCCTGCCAGCGCGTCCGCCTCACCCGCGGGGGCTGCTGTGCCCTCCGTCGCTTCGGGTCCCGCTGCTGGCGGCGGTGGCGCGCGCGGCGGCGGCGGGGAGGGCGGCTGCGGCGGCTGGGGTGGCTGCGGGGGCGGCGAGGGCGGGCTGGGGGGCGGGCTGGGGGGCCGTGGCGGCGGCGGCGGCTTTGGCGGGGCCATGCACAAGTTGAGCTGCAGGTGCAGGGGTGGGAGGAGAGGATGGGATGGCAGGGGGTGTGAGGAAGGGCCAGTTGCAAGAGGCAGGGGCCGACACAGCCAGCAGCTGGAGCCGGCACGCCTCTTGCCGCCCCCTGGGGCTGCCAGGTGTGAGGCAAGGTCTGCACCCACCCACAACCCACCCTGTAGAAGGCGTGCAGCTGCCGCAGCCCAGCCTCCGTCGAATCGATGCCGCTGCGGGGCAGGCAGGGACCAGGGCGGCAGCGGGCTGGTGGGGCAGGCACTTTGCGTCCGCCAGGGCACGCCAGCCAGCCGGCGTTTCCCAACAGCAGCGCAGCCAGCAGGCGCGGCGGCATGCATGGAGGGATCCCAGGCGTGACCTCCCCGCACGCAGCGCCCGCTGCGCCCGCTGCGCCCGCACGGGCGCCTGCACACCTGCATGAGGGCCGCGCGTTGGCCAGCAGGCCGCACACCCGCTCGTGCAGCGGGTGGCCCGCCAGGTTCTGCACCTCGCCGCAGCTGTTGGCGCTGTTGGAGCATGCGGTCTGCGGGAAGAGGCAGGAAGGGGCAGGCCGGGTGGCGGGATGCGCATGGGGAGTTGGGAGGCGGCAGGGACCTGGCTGGGTGATGCTGTGTGGGCATGCCAGCCGGGGCGACAGCTCCGGCCAGGCTGCACACTTTATGCGGCCCGCCGCTTCACCCTCACCTGGCACAGCCGCTGCCCCGCCTCCAGGCTAAAGTTGCACCCCTGATCCGTGTCCAGGCACGTGTAGGTGGCTGCAGCAGCGGGAAGGGGCGGCGGGCCGGTCGGCAACACCGCCCACACGCCCACACCGCCTCCGCCCTGCCGCTGAGCCATGCCGCCACGGCACGGCGCCATGCGCCCCGGCAGCGGCACAGCCCCCAGCGGCCACGGCGGCCCCCGGCCGCGCAGGGCGTGAAGGGCGCTCCCCAGCAGCAGCCTCACCGTCCACCCGCACTATGCAGTTCTCCGGTACCGCGCCGCTGTAGTAGGCTGGGTAGCGCCAGCTCATGCCGCCGCTGCCCGCCACCACCTTCTCCACGGTGTAGTTGCGGTAGTGCTCCACATCCTGCACACACGAGCGGGAGAGGAGGGCCCTCATGCCAGCAGAAGCAGCAGCAGCAGAAGCAGCGAAAGGACCAGCGAGGTTACGGGCCGCTGCGTGTGCGTAGGATGCAGGTGACGGCCGCAGGCGCCGCCTGCTGGGCGCCGTGCAGCTGCCGACGGCTGCCGGCGCCAGGCTCACCGCCGGGAAGGATGCAGAGAGGTTGGTGTAGCGCTCCCGCCGCAGGCTGGCAGGCGCTACGTCGCAGAAGGGCGGCGGCGGCGCCGGGGTGCCGGGGGCTGCAGGGGGCGCGCGCCCAGCCACAGGCACAACGCGGCGACAGGTGGGGACAGCTGGTGGAGTCAGCTGTCAGAAGGCAAGGCGGCTGGGGCCCAGCGGCAGGCCGCCTCATCAGGACAAGTCACAAGCTGTATTCCTGGCTGCATGCACCCGATCAAGCGACACAGGGCGGCGCCGGCTCACCTGCAGAGGGGTTGGACGCTGCCGGCGGCAACCGCGGGGCCGGCGGCACCGGTGGCGGCGGCCCGACAGCGACCGCGGCCACCTGCGCCTGCCTCCTGCCCCCCGACAGCCCCACCCACACGTTAACCCCCGTGGCTGCCGCCAGCAGCAGGCAGGCCCAGGCCACGAACAGCATCTCGGGGCGGCGGTAGAGCGGGCGCCACTCGTCAGCGCCATACCCGTCCTCCTCCTCCTCCTCCTCTCCAAACCCCTGCTCGTAGCCCAGCCCCGCGCCGTACACCTCCCCTCCTTTGGCCACATCCACAAAGTACCTGTCCTTCCAGCCGCTGTCCTCGCTGAGCTTGCCGGCGTCGCTGCCCAGCTTGTGCCAGGCGGCGGCGGCGGAGCCGGCCAGGCTGGCGGTGCGGCTGCCGACCCACTCGCAGCCCAGCTTGCCGGGCGAGTCGGCGTGGTGTCCTTGCGCGGAGTCGTCGAAGGTGCTGGTGCTGGCCAGCGAGGGGCCGGTGGAGGCAAAGGCCCGCATGGCAGGCGCCCAACCACCTCCCTCTTGGGGAAGCATAGAGGGGAGCTTGGGGTTCTGGGGTCAGATGCAGTCTTCGGGTTGCATGAAAAGCCTCAGGAGGTCCGCCAGCCGCCCGGAGGGTGGTGGGTGGGCAGAGATGCCTCCTTGGCAGGGTTGGCCGGTGCGGTTGGCCCTGTAGGAAACTGACAGCAATCTAGCAGCTTGTCAGGCGCCAGAACCTCAAACAGCGCCGGTTCTCGTCACGCTGCTCATGCCACCGCAACGCGCAGCGGCCGCAGCGGCGGCGCCGCTGGCGGAAGTGCCAGGCTGGCGGTGCGTGGGTTGGTTTCGAGGATGTGATCAGGCTGGAACCTGGCGGTATTTCAGATGATGATGGACAAATTTCGGTGATGACAGGTGGCTGCGGCTGCTGTATTGCGGTGCAACCGGGCAGCTCGATGGGGCAGCAGCTGGCGGCAGCAGGGTACAGCAGGCAGAGCAGCAGCAGCAATGCATGCCAGCCGAATCCAGGTCCAGGCTCTCCATACACCAGAGTGTGCTCGTTGCCGCATCAACTACTTGCTCTTACATGGCATCCGCACAAAGGGATGGCAAAAATGCAAGGCAAAGGCACTGCCTGGCAGAAACCGCGGAAACAGCGGCACGGCGGGGGGAGCGCATCAAGCCATGCACTCAGTGAGTGCATGGCTTGAGTCGCATAATATTCTGAATAAATAACAGTCGTTATTCTATCGTTGTGTACCCTAGTCTATGTTGCAAGCTAGTTCTTGCTTTACCAGACTTTAAGCCCACACAAGCACAAGCAACCCGGCCGGGCGGCCGGCCGCGGCGGGCTGGGAACAAAACGTTGGGGAGCGATGAAAGTGCACTCCCACATGCGTCCATCGTGTTAGTAGAGAGCATATAGTTGAGGCAGGGGGCCATGGTATTGCCGCAATAGTTCATTTGGTATTGCCGAGGAACCAGTAGTGTACACAGGTGCATGACTGAGAAATTGCTCAAGCAGGCAGGCCTGGCCTGCATGGGAATACACAGGAGACTATAGCTAGCAAACATGCTAAAAGGTGCGCGTGGGAACCCACCACACGCAATGCCCACAACAGTGACTACTGCGCGTGGACATGCTGACCCAGCTGGTACAAACGGGGATAAGCAGCTGGGGCAGCCCAATGCATACAGGGCAGGGGCGGGGGGTCGGGGGGGTGCATGCCCAGAGAGGAGAGGGAGGCAGCTAAACAACGGCGAAGCTAGCAAGAGAAACGCGTCTGTTTTGCAGTCGTCTGTTCTGAATGAGATGTGTTTGAAACCCAGGCCCAGGAAAAGTTGGATTCAAGGGATTGGAGGTTGTGGCAGGCCAGGACTCGAGAGAAGCATGCAAGCTCAAACGGGGCGGGGAAAAGAAAATTTGCCTCTGCTGCCGCTATGTGTCCGGAGGACAGGCAGCAGGGCGGCTGGAAGTACATGAAATGCGGAAGATGCAGGATTGCAGCACTGGGGGGCGAGGACCGAAAATCGGGCCGAAATGGGACAAAGATCAGAGAAGGCCAGGTTGGAAGTGGGTTCAGGTTGTTCAGGAGGGAGGTGGGATGGCAAGAGAGGTGCACAGGGGCAGGGCAGTGAAGCGGCCGTACGCCCCGCGCAAAAAAAATGCTTGAGGCCGGGGCGTGCCAGAATAGCGGCTTGGGTGACACTCGCCCCGGGGCTGGTAATGCGCGGCAGGGTCGCTGAGAAGCGGGGAGTGGCAAAGGCTATGTGCAAGAAAGGGGGAGGGCGGCTGAGATGGGGCGGGGCCGCGGTGGTCTTGGGGCGAGTGGCGCATGCGGTTGCGGGAAGGTGCCTCACCAGCCCAGGGCCGCGAGGGCCGAGGTGGGGGCCCCGCCGCTCCAGCTCTCCAAGTCGCAGGCCCCGCCGGCGGCGGAGGGGAAGCACTCCTGGTGCTCCTCAGGCGGCGCCAGCAGGTTGCTGCACACCACCTGCTGCGCCGAGTGCGGGCGGCTGGCCAGGTCGGCGGCGCGCCAGGCGGCACGGCCCGCCGCCGCCGGCTGCGGCCGCGGCACGTGCATGGAGGAGGTGGTGAGCTGGAGCGCAGCCAGCGCAGCCAGCTGCTCCTGCTGGTCCCGGCACACCTCATCCGTCAGGTCGGGCAGCGCCACCGCGCCAGCCTGCAGCGGGGGTGCGGGGAGGGGGCGGCGGTACATGCGTGTGAGCAGGCGCCCAGCCTCCCCAGCCGGCGTTTCAGCTGCGCAGCCGGCGCCACAGGCTGCCTGTGTGGCTTGCTGGCTGCGCCCCATGGCTCACCTCGCGGGCGGGGGTCATCAGGTCCCACCCCAGGTCAGCCAGCACCTGGCGCTCCTGCTGGCGCAGCAGGCCGGCGGGGATGCCTGCGGCGGCGGCGGCGGGGGGGAGCGGGGTGGAGGCGAGGCGTGAGTGTGGGGGGTTCTGTGGTGGGGGGGCGCGCGGCGCAGCTCAGCATGCAATGCGGGCGCGGCGCGGCTGGCAGGGGGTGGGATGCGCTGGCGGAGGCAGCGGCAGGCGTTGCTCGAGGCCGCGCCGGGGTTGGAGAGGGTGGGCGTGGCAGGGAGGCGGGGCCAGCGGGGCGCAGCAGCACAGTGCGGCCCTTGCAGCCCTGGACCTCCACCCACCTGAGATGCGGCTCATGAGGTTGGCGTCTGGGGTGGTGGTGCGGGTGGCCTCAAACTTGATGGCCAGCCACAGGCTGGCAGCCAGCAGCGCCCCCGCCAGCAGCCGCTCCCGCACCAGTGCTGCCTGCCCGCTCTGGTCGCGGCGCAGGAAGGAGCGCCTGCACCGCGTTTGGGGGGGGGGTCACAGGGGGCAGGGGTGAGAGCCGGGAGAGGAGGAAGGGTGCGGCGGGGCAGCCAGGGAGGGAGAACCCGGGGCCCTGCCTCCCCGCAAACGCAGCCGCGCCGAGCCACCGCCCCAACTCAGAGGCGGGTGGTGCAGGGCTGTGTGGGCGCTTGCCTGAAGATTGCGCAGGCCATCGCTGCGGCCCGTGTGTCCCGCTGGATGGCCAGGCAGGCGGCGTGCATGGAGGACAGATTGTCCAGGCACTGGTGCACATAGTCAAACAGGAAGGAAGCGGCCCAGGGCACGCTCGCCGGCGACGGCTCCAGCGCCGGCGCCGGCGAGGCGGCGCCTGCGGTCAGAGGCGCGCCGCCCTGGGGCTGGCCTGCGCTGGCGGCCTCGCTGCATGGGTCGTAGCTGCCGCACGTGCGCTTGCGCTTGGGACGGGCCGGGCAGTCCTGCGTGGGCGGGGCGGCGGCAACAGCGAGTGAGGCGCCGTGCGTGCAACGCAGTCCCGCGGCGGCAGCCCCGACTTGGGAGTGTGGGGGGCGCCAGGCGCTCCCAATTCTGGCGGCGCCCACACTCCCTAGCGCTCCTGCTGCCCAGGCGGGCACAAGGGCGGTTCGATGCGAACCGACCGCCGTCAATTCAGGGGCCATTCAACGTGCAGTGCCATCAGCCGGGTGGCCCCCGTCAGGTCTTGCAGCAACAAGTCTGCCCCCTTTCCCGCCACCCAGATCAATGGAAGCAGCACAGTAGCAACACCGAGCCTCACCATGGTGGCGGGGGTGGCCTGCACCAGTTTCTGCGGGCCTATTTCGCATTCCAGGGCCAGCACATCCGCCACCAACATGGCTGCGGTGTGCACAGAGGCGGCGCGTGAGCGCAGCGCTGCAAGCAGAAGTCTGGCGGAGTGGGGAGAGGGCAGCAGCGCTAGTGGCACTGCCAATTGCACAAAGTTGGATGTTGAACACAACAGGCAATAGCTTGTCAATGAGGCGTCCCGCAAAGGAGGTCTACAGCTGAGTCGTCTATCTTCTGAGATACTTCACAACTGGTTCATGTGACATCCGATGACACCCTCTTATTCTTCCCCAGCACATGAATCAACAGCTCTGTAACAGGACGTTAAGATAGTTGGGACACGGCGGCGGATGCGCAGCAAGCGCAGGGGAGGGCCGCAGGGGAGGGCCGCCGGCGCCCGCTGCCGCCACCTCCCTCCGGCGCGCACTTGCCACCACTCCAGTGCCGCCTCTTTCCTTGTTTACATGCCTATCCGAAGTTAATTTTGGTACAAATGTATGTAGAAGCAGCCACAGAGAGCTCAGGCTCGTTCAACCCGCTCTTTCAGCGCCTTGTTCATGTCGTTGAACCCCGTCTCGGTCGCTTTGAGGAGGCCTCCCAGCAGCGGGATCAGAAGCCCCGTGAAGTTCTCGCCGTGCACCAGGTGGGTCTTGCCGGCGGCGGGGGAGGTCAGGAGGAAGTAGTGCTCCCCCGTGAAGAGGCCGGGGATGGGCAGGCTGCCGCGCCAGCGCAGCTCCTTGCCAGGCTCCACTGCGTGGCAGGGAGCAAACAAGGTGGGCAGGGCTAGATGAAGCGAGGGGTGCCGGCTGGCACCAGGCTGGCAGCCCGTCGAGCATCAAGGAGGTGTGGCAGGGCAGGGCGAGGCCGAGCAGCAACCGTGGCGCCGCGCTCACCTGCCAGGAGGGTGGGCGTGAATGTGCCGCCGCTCTTGCCCGGCGGCTTGGCTGTCATCTTCATCTTGCCGCCGGCCTTCAGCTCTCCCTCAAAGTACAGGATGAAGGGGTTCCAGTCCGGGTAGCTGGCCGTGTCGGCGAGCACAGACCACACCGCCTCGGGCGGCGCATCAATGTCTATCTCGGTTGTCAAGCTGCCGGTGGGCATGCTGGCTGGCTGCGCAGGGCCGGCTTGTGCTTGTGGGGAGGGCCACGGTTTGTTGGGGGGTCACGTAATCTTAGGGCAGTAGCTGCAGGCTGTGGGCGGCGGCGCATGCATGGTCAGGCCGCTGGCGGCACCCAGCGGCAGCTGGCGGCACGCCAGCGCCGCACTGGGCTGGCTGCGCAACCCCTGCGCTGGCGCCCGTTTGGTTTGCTGGAGCACTTGCAAGCGCAGACTCGCAAGCCAGAGCCAGCTTCCCACCTTTGCAATAGCAGGTGGCGGTGTCTGAACGGCACTGCTGTGCACAGCTGTGGGGCCCTGGAGAATTGTTACAGCTCTTATATCGCGATACAAAACACACACAGAGAAACAACGTGCGAGCCTCATTGCACCTTCACCTAACCCCAGCCAGCACGGGACTTCCTCTCTTTCATGCCAGCAAGATGCCCCTGATGTCGCAGGCTACTGCTACGAGTGGGTGCAGCAGAAAACGCAGAAGAGTGATCCCCGCCAGGTGCCAGCAGCCGGCGCTGCTTGCCCCCCCGCTTGCGGGGACCCCCCACATACCGCCTGTGCCGCCCTTCACCCCGCCTCAACGTTTCGCCAGCGCCTCAATCTCATCCGTTCACTGCAACATGAATTCTCAGGTTCAGAGGAAGGGGCGCTGCAGCAGCGATACATATGGCTAGGAAGAAGAAGCGGCTCCCGCTCCTCCCGCAGAAAGCACAAGCCGCCCTGGCTTCAGCAGCGCAGCATGTAGACGGAGACAGATCCATCTCCGAAGCACCCCACACTGATGGGTTTGCCCATTTCCTTGTTAGCTGCACTCCCAGCCTCACAAGTTTGTGCCGGTGGCGGTGGCAGTGGCGGTGGCACTGAGGAGGTGCCCCCAGGGGGCGCTAGCACCTGGGCTGTGCAGCAGAGCCTTTGCCATCCTTGGAACGCCAATTCGTGGCCCCTTGGGTCGTGCGGGCGGCGGCTGCCTGCGTGGCCACTCCGGCCCTTTTGTCTACGCCCTCCGCCTCATCCTTTGCACTCACCGTGCTTGTCACGCCGTCCGGCTTGGCTAAGTGCGCACATACCAGGCTGCCCACCCCGGCAGCAGAGCTCAGGCATCGCCACTGCGCAGCTGGCCCGGCGGAGCTGAGGCCTGGCCCCAGACCAAGAGGGCTGGGAGTAAACAGTCACCGCTGGAGCGCCAGTTCTCGACTCTGGCTGTGGACCTCGCAAGCGCGCGATGGGCTGCACTTCCAGCAAAGCGGCGCCTGGGGCGGAGGCCATCGTGTCGGTGAGCGGCCCTGGCTGGACCGGCGGAGCGGCGCGCAGCGCAGGGGGCTCGGGGCCTGTCGGCGCGCCGCCGCATGTGCCCACTCGCGCAGGCACCGCCCCACACTCCCCCCCACCTTCTCCGCAGGCCTCGGTGTCGCCCCACTACGTGCCCGGCAAGCAGCTGTCGGACAACGGCAGCGACGTCAAGTCCAGCCTGACGGGAGGCAAGCCCGAGTCGCTGCCCGACACCTCCTCGGCGCCGCCGTCCGCGCCCGGCTCGGCGGGCCCCGTCATGCTCTGCGACACGCGCGGCTTTGAGGTGGAGCGGGAGCGGGAGGGTGCAGTGAAGGCGCTGGGTCTGGTGGACACGCCTGTGGACGACCCGCGCTTCAACGCCATCACCAAGTGCGTGGCTGGCGCCGGCGGGGGGTGGCGGGGGCGGGGAGAGGCCGGGGAGGCAGGGAGTCGGCGCTGGCTGCTGCGGCGGCGGCCGGCTGGGTGCCTGCGCGCCTCTGCAGGAAGCGGCGGCGCGCTGCGGGTGGGCGGCTCCCCGCGCCGCGAGCGCGCGCCGAGCCGCGTCGCGTGCCCGCTGTGCCTGCTGTGCCCGCTTCAGGCTCATGGCCTCCATCTTCCAGACGCCCGTCGCCCTCATCACCCTCATCACAGAGGACCGCGTGTGGTTCAAGGCAAGCCGCCAGCTGGCAGCGCCAGCTGGCAGCGCAGGCGGGGCAGCAGGAGGGAGCAGGCCGCCTGCCCGCGCGCATGCGGCGCTGGCCCCCGGCTGCCCGCCCCTCGCTGTTCGGCTGGCGCACGGCCGTGCGGCTTGCTGACCGCGCCCCCCCCCCCGCCTGCCGCCCGCCCGCGCGCCGCGCCGCGAAAAACAAGGTGGGGCCCTTTGGGGCGG